CATAGGGACCTTGTTTATTCTAAAATATAGGGATCACGTGTTCTCTTCCAGCAAAAAACATAACTTTTGGGAGTATGGGGTGTAAAAATCCAGGGTGAAAATTGGTTTAAACTGATTTGCTTTTAAATATTCATATGAAAATCTGTAAAAACAAGTAATGACCTATAATTATCTAACAGGATGCACTATTTTACGTGCGGCAGCATTGTTATACATATACTGCAGAGTGTGTGCTCATGAACTTGTACAGAAATAGGCTCACACTGAGACAAAGACATCACACATGCAAATTAAGCCCTGCAAAGCACATATCCCGTGCAGTTCCATTAAGGCAGTTACCGGCCGCCTAAAGCAAACTCAGCGCAGGAAAAGCAAAAATATTCCAGGAACGTTCACAGGGGACCTCTTGCCCCCTCCGGTAGGATTCATCATTTTTAAAATAACCTGAAGAGAATGAAAGCAGAAAGAAATTTGGTGTGTCTACAGTCGGTGCTCTGATCACCACCACTGCCCCTGGAACGTGTTCTCAAGTCATCTGGGAAATAACAGCAGCACTCAGCTCAACTGCCTTATTAAAAACAACACAAATGGTGCATAAATGCCTGCGCGAATGCCAACTTGAAAGCTTCCTCGGCATACAAGCCTGCTCAAACTAAACCTACAGAATAATTCACAACTAAATTGTGTTTGGGATGAGTCGGCCAGAGGACACAGGCTGTCTGGAAGTCTCTCCTCTATTATCTATGAATTTATCATCAGGTTCTCATATAAAATCTCACCCTTTGATCATAATTCAGCATGTTTACCATGTTTTGTCTTACTTATTCACAGACATAAGCAACTAAAATGTGTAGCACTGTGGTATGGATTTTAGCATGGGATGTTGTTGGACCAATATTTGAGACATGATGTAACTAAGTGTAAAATACCAAGGGCAGTTTCAGTGATTGCAACTTTGTTACTCTTATGTGTTGTTTTCCATTATTAGGAGAAGGCAGCGGGGGTACCATGGCTACTGTTGACATGATATTGTGCCTTCTCGCTGTACATCAAAGAGGGATGACAAAAAAAAGAAAAGTAATAAGAAAGAAGGGAAGAAGGAAGAGGGCAGCATCAGGTGTATTCAGTCCCTCCCCCGCTGCCTCCTTAATCTGTCACTTCGCTGTTGGCAGAGAGCTCAGGTGCTTCGCTGTCATCAGGGGCATGTATGGTTTACCGCCAGGACCTCTGATTCGTCCAGGGCTAAGCCCACAGTCCCTTGGGTATTTTTAGTCAGGTGTGTGGATTGCACTGACAGGGGTCACTCATTTGGTCTTGAACCACTTGGGAGAAGTGTCATTTCTAGTCAGTATGTGCCCAATCTCCTCTGAGTTTTTTTCTGTGTGTGTGTGTGTGTGTGTGTGTGTGTGTGTGTGTGTGTGTGTGTTATGCAACGCGGCCTATTTTTACACATCAGTAATGAACAAACTGTTTTGGAAAATAAGACATCAATTTTGAAAGACTTTTGCCTCTGTTGCAACAGCAAAATGTGATTATCTACTTAAAGCTTTTGTGCACGCGCGCGTGTGTGTGTGTGTGTGTGTGCATGCGTGTATATGTGTGTGTGTGTGTGTGTGTGTGTGAATGGATGCCTGCAGAGTAATGGAACCATCAGGAGCACAGCTCTAAGTGATGCAGAAACTCATCGTCTGTAGACATTAACAGAGACACTGACGGACTTTATTTTCCAACACTGTCATTTTAAAGATGTTCTTGTTCAATAACACCACTGGTGCCTTACCATCAGTTAGCAGATACTTTCTTCATTTCTTCTCACAAGAATAAAGCTGTCATTCAGTGTTGAGTTAAGAGGCCTTTTGTGTGCAAATGTCCCTGAGATTGAAAAGACTCGGTAACTGTGCATGTGTCTGTGCGAAAAAGCTTTCTGCAGTCCCAACTGTGTTTAGATGTAAGAATGTCCTCCCAGGCACAAAATTCTTTCGGTCACCCATCCCACAGATCTGAAACACACTCAAAGAACCTCTGTTGTAGCAATTATTACTCAGATTTTCATTTGCTGGCCACTTCTGTGAAGCCGAGCTCTGAATCATCCCAAACATTCAGATAGTGGAGAGTTGAGGGGGAAAAGAAAGAGAAAAACAGATAGTGGCGATGGGCAATAGAGTAACAAAGGACAGAAAGGAGTAAAAGATGATACAGAGAGAAGAAATGAAGGATGGTGAGGAGTGGAGAGGAGAGTCGGTGCCAAAGGTGTAGTGTGGTCTTCAGGGCTGCGCTGGGTAACATTGTCTTACTCACTACCTCCAATCTCAAGAGTGATTTCTGTTTCTTTTCTTGCTTTCTCTCTCCCCACAGCCCCCATTTCTGTCTCTCTATCTCTTTCTCCCTCAGACCCCGTTTACACCTGGTATTAAAATACAATCTGTATGTGAAAAATGCGTGTTAACGCAAGGTATAAATGCATTGTGTTCAGAATGTGATCAGATCTGCCTGATATCTTCTGGAGATGGTCTGGTGTCACATTGTGTTCAGATGTTAGGTAGGTGAGAACGCAATCTTTGACACCTATACAGCTGATTTGCAGCCACCTCAAATTACTCATGCGCAGGTTTTACTCGACTAGAGGACAGACATCCGACCTCAATGAGGAGAACGAGAACACGTTAAAAATGCCAGGCGTAATCGGATCGTTTTATTATCTGGATAACGTGTCTGGATACAGATCGTATGTTCACTTGCAAAGCACTTGCACTTAAGTTCCAGTGTTTTCTCCCTCGCTATGAATGTCTCCTTTATATTCTTTGCTGAAACTAGGAAGCCCTGTTCTTTCCTTTCGCCCCGACAGAATCCGTGCTCTCGCTCTCACAGTCTCTCCTTTTCTATCCACTCCGGTATCCACTTTCTCTTTCACTCCTTCCCCTGTCTCTTTCCACCCTGCTAACACCTCCCTCCGACTGTGGCTCTCCTCTCGTCCGTCTCAGGGAGGGAGGGAAGAGGAGGTGAGAATGAGAGTCTGGCAGGAGGTTTTTCCCGGCACACGTTGGACATGTGGGTGAAATCACGCTGCTCGCCATGCACGACATATTACTTTCTGATTTTGGAAGGAGTCACTAAAATACTGGTGCTATTCAAGTAGGGCTGTGTTGTTCTAATGTTATTCAGCCGTGTCTCCTAATTTGCTACAGCTAATATGTTTTGAGAGAGATGTAATGCTGCCTAAGGTTTTTATTTGTTCATCATCGTTGTGAGGAAACATTTTTAATTTGTCTTCCCTACAATATCCACCCTTGCAACGAAAGCATAATTAATGTTTTGGTTCTGTTTTGGCACTCGCAGAACTCGACTCAGGGTATCGGGAAAGGTCATGGTCTTGGTTGAATACAGGACACAGGATGCAAGCCCAGGTCTCTACTATCAAAGTCCTACATTTTGTACGCCTGCCACTCCCATCACCTCCCTACAACTCCCCTGTGTACATGAACATCACACCTCCTTCACTGGAAAAAAAAAATATGTTCCCAGTTTCTCAAAACGTAGCTACTAAAACAATTTCATAGTATATAAAAGTAATTTGAAGGGGTGAGGGTTGTTATTATATGTAAAATTTTATGATAATCATGAACAGAATTATATGTTATCTTGAATTGAAACCCCCACCAAATGAAAAAGTGAGAATTAAAGGAGGCAGGGAGGTTAAGGCAGACGGAGACAAAGAGACCCGAGATGAATTGGCCGTCTAAAGGGCAGGTAATATGCAGAAAATGTCACATCGAGTTGCTCCTGTCTGCTGAGACAGAGGAACATTAGTCATGTTCAAAGCTTTCCTCTGTTTTCTGAGCTTCTTTTAGTCAGTCAGTACTTTTATTCTGTTATTCAGATATGATTTTTTAATTGTGTGTGTGTGTGTGTGAATAATTTGTCTGCTTACTTTTGTGAAGGCATGACATCTAAAGCTTTACTTCTATTCATGCTTGCTTTCCTGCGCGTGTGTTTACATTTTCTTTTATGTGTGTGAGTGCGTGCGTGCGCATGTGTGTGTGTGTGATGTTGGAAGGTGGCAGTGATTAATTGCATGGTAGGGATCGAACAAGCATTGTTTAATTAAATCCTGTGATAATGTCAAAGTTTATGTTTCCTGGGAGACGAGAGGTTGGGCCTTCTGTATCCCCTTCAGCTATTAGCCCACTATTAATCACAACATGTGCGTGTGTTGTGTGCAAGTGCATGTGTGGCAGCAGATGTGATTCTTTTTACGGCTCCTCGGGGTAAATAAGAATCAAAGGGCAATTCTGGTATAATGGAATTTTTTCTGAAACTGTTTTCAAAACAACAGTGTGAACGTGTCACGTTAGACGTTAGCTCTCTGCATAGCAGTTTCTCATTTTGGCACCCAAAGCTGTTTTGTGATCCTGGTCCATTTCAGTCCTGCCTCCCAGCTTGATACAATAAGCTTTTGAGATGAGTAATACTTTTAAAGAAGTGGCAGGAAAAGGGTGCAACAGAACTATAGCGTTAGCATTACCTATGTCACAGTTTGTCTTCCATTTTGTTGACTACTATACTCATTACCTTTTTAATCTATGCCTACACCTCCAAGCAGGAGATTACACACATTGATCCCCTTTACATTTATGAAAACAAAGCTAATGAACTTGGCTGAGCACTGAATAACAGCACTGAGAGGCCTGGACGTGAGTTTTCCTCACAGGGAACTGAGATATGCTTTCTCTGAACAAACTACAGAAAACAGTGACCATATGGATGAAATATGAAGTTGGTTTTCTAATGTTCATATTTATAATTAACTGTTTCTAAAGTCACTAATTTCTGTTAAAAAATACATTCTTGGTCGTCCCGCTCTGTTTACTTCCATGAGTGGAAACTGTATAGCTGATGGAATTTTGCAGGTTCTCGTGAAAGCGTAAGCAGAAAATCAAACTGTGTGTGATTGCACCTCAGCTGTCAGGTTGTTTGTCAGCCTTTTCCTCTGCTCTGCTCAGGGTATCACCACAGCCTCCCCTCCTCTCCCTACACCTCCACGGCTGGCCGCGATGGTCAGAGGTTACCGCCGTCTGGCACCCTGTCCTCTGAATACCTGAACCAGGGCGGCTCCTCAAAGGTCCTCCTCCTCATCTGTAACACAGCAGGATCTGGCCAGCAGGCTGTCAGGTGAGCTGCAAGCTGGCATTTTGTTTTCTTGGTTGTTGGTTTAGGTTTTATTGAGGAGTTGCATCTGACTGAAGATCACATATTCAGTTTATTCAGCTTGTGAATTGGTTTTGTTAAGCACACAATAGCAGAGCCAGTTAACTTACATTTCTTTTATGAGATTGTATTTGAGGATGTCATCTGAAATTCGTGACTGTGTTTTAGAGCATGTTGAAGTGCCGCCATTTTTCCCTCTGCTCTACTGTGTCTTCAGTTTTAAATATAGTTTCTTCTTTATTCTTTTCCTTTTTCGTCACCCAGTGCTGCCCCAATGTCAACATCTAACTGCTGTTTGACTGTGACCTGTAAATCTGTTACACATATTCCCCAGGCTAGGCTGGTTTTATTTAGCTAGTGCAGTTGAAGCTCCCACCCAGCTGTAGCTGGAAGCTGACTGTGTAGAAACCTGAGACCGAGCCAAACAATGAGTTCAAATTGGAGCCCTTAACCTATGAAAGTTTGGTTTAGTTGGTTGCCATATGTTAGTCTAACAAGGGTGGGCAGCATCATTAAATTGCCTACCTAGAAAGCATCTGATGTACTGTACACCCACAGCACAGTTGGACCAAATGGTGGAAGCAGCCACAAGCCAGTGACACTGACTTGCTCTATTTGGGGATAAATGTCCCACAGGGCCTGACCTGCATTGCAAATCGGAGAAGAAATGCTCTGATCACACATCTACCTCCTCAGTAAGACTTTGTCACTGGTGGCAACATCACAAATTTTTTAAAACGATCCACACTTTTATAAGATAGCAAATTAGGAGTCTAGTTAGTACTGAGCAAAGATGAATTGACTCATGCACCCAATCAAAGTTAATCTGCAGCTACTTTAAAGATTAATGCACTTACACTACAAAGGATCATAGCTAAAGCAGGGCAGATATCTGATAGCCCAGTTGATCTCCCAGTGATTAACAGAAGAGAGAAATGTTTTGTGGAGTGAGTGAGGCAAAGCAAAATACTTTATATTGATATATTGCACCGACTGCATATAGGGTCAGTCTCCTGCACATTCACGATGAAGACATAATGTTCTTCATCCCAGCAGTGCTCTGTCAGATTTTCTTTGTCCAAAGAGTGCAGTTAATTGCTGTAGACTAAAATCACTGTAATGCTCCTGAAGCCATTATGACATAATGCATCCTTTGTAACATAGAGCATTATTTGAATTGAAGTATTCATTCGACTGACGGTAGACTGTGTCCATGAGAGTGCCTGGTTAGGATTGTAGAACCATTCAGACAGTAATCCTCTGATATTTAGGGGTTTGTTCTGTACAAAGACTAACATTCCCAACACCATCATTAGTGCTTTTTCTCTTTTATTTGACATGTACATCACAATCGCACTGGAACTGCAACATACAATTGTGGACAAGCACCAGATGTACTGTATTAAGTGTTTTTAGTGAAATGCTGATTTACAATATCTGTCCACAGAAGGCTTAAAATAAAAAGGGAAAACTAGAAATACAATACAGATACAAATGTAATACATGTTTAAAAATACAATACAATATATTTACAGATGTGTCCATACAGTGGTATTAGGTGTGAGAACAATGTTGTTTCTCTTTTAGCCACGTTTTAAAGGAGCTATTAGTAAGTTTTGCTATTGCTACATAGCCAACATTGGCATCAACAGCTGTTTACTTACCAGTCTAGAAGAAACACTGAAAGTTCAACATCAAATTTCGTTCCTTCACCCGTCAACAGCTGTCTCCAGTGGTGGAAAGCAACTCTCTTGTTTTGCTTCTTTTTCTATCACTTTTTCTAGTGAAGTTCACATGTTAACCAGCTTGCCCCAGGCTTTCCTATAGCAAGTTACTGTAGTGTCCATTCTGCTCTGGAGAAGTAGCACTGCTCAGAGGACGTATTTATAACCTCTTGTCTGGTAAATGCAACGATTGCTGAAGCTGTTGCCAAGACTGGTTGGTATAAATAGCTGTTAATGATAATACTAGCTATGTAGCAATAGCAAAACTTACAAATAGCTCCTTGAAAAAAACATGACATTTTTTGTGTTGCACTTTCATCTCAGTGGGTAAACAGTTCCAGAGTTTTTCTCCTTTAACATGACTGATTCTCCAAATGAGGCCTTTAACATTAAAATGACAGTTATCATTTATTTAGGTTTATTCTTCACAGGGATCAATAAAATCTAACCTGTTATTGACTTGAGGAAGGATGGATTCATATTTCTCTCTTGCGGGACAGGAGTGAAACTCTGCAGGGTCTTCTGCTGCTGAGTCCTCTGTGTCCATGCTTATACACCTCGTTTAGATGGGACCAAATAACACACAGTCCTATGAAAGGCCTGGTAATATCAGGATGTGACATTTGACGACTCGTCTGTCCACTTGCATCAGGAGTCATGTGCCAATAAACATCCGAATATCTGAGTTGTCATCTACAACCAAAATAAAAGGACAGTTCGTTGAGTATGGCAACACTTGCAGCAATAACCTACAATGAGGAAACCAAAAAACACCCAAAAAACAATTGGACATCTCCTTTAGATACTATGCTACAATATGCATCTTCCACTTTTGTGAGAAAACTTTCCAAAAAATTTCGGAACCTGGCTCCAGAGATCTGCTCCCCTCAGCCACAGGAGCATTTGTTGGCTCATGGTCGTGTGTTCCAGTTGATCCCAAAGGTGTTTCATGGATTTGAGGTCAGGACAACTCAAACCTTGTTTTGCGCACCGGGCCATTGTCATGTTGAACTAGGAAAGGCCTTCCTCCTAACTGTTTGAAATATCATTCTACTTACACTTATGCATTGGGATTTGCCATAACTGAAACTCATTGCTCTGGTCTAATCAAACTATTTGAAGTATTATACTGAGAGACCACAAACTACAGCCTCCAAAATGACTATAAGATTGAATCAACACCTCTTTAAAACCCTCTAACCTTCATGAAGGTGAGATTTATAGTAGGGATATTATTTTAAACTACATTAGTTTTAGCTAGGTGTACCTAATAAACTTGGAGTGTATGTTTGTTTTGTAAGTATGTGTGTATTTCTCTCCTTCGCTCACTCACTCATAAATAATAAAAACCTTGGAAGTTTAATCTTCAGCTCTGTGTGTCTAAATAATCTATGAGAGATGTTGATATACTTGTCTAGTCTGTCTAGACAAACACAATTGCCTTTCCTATTAACCTCCTACACAATGGCCTCTAATTTAACCACTGCTGTGCAGTCAAGAGGAACATGAGCCTTGCGTTAACCTAGAGACAGAGAACCTGTTATGAGGCACTGATGATATACAGACTGGTTTCTGAGCTTTATTTGGCTCCTGACCACTCATACAGTAATGTCACTTCAAGCTGTCAGTACAGGACACAAGGCACTGACAGTGAAGCCTTGATGCCTGACAGCTTGACGGATATGGTGATGACACAATAAGCAGCAAGGACCTTTACTGCCACATTCTCAAGTTTCAATAAGCTCAACCGTGGCTCTATATTGAATTAACTTTTGTATGAACAGGGTTTCCCTTGATAAAAAGCAACTGAATTATATGCAAAATTGAACTCTCCTCTCCTCTCCTCTCTTCTGTCAGGTTTGGACCTCCATTTCTCATGCGTGAGGACAGGAGCATCTCCTGGGACCAGCTGCAGCAGAGCATCCTCAGCAAGCTCTATTATCTGATGCTGAATGGATCTCAGGCTCAGGTAATGGCAGCACCAGCGCCAGAAACATGTCACCCTCTCTATCCTGTGTCCTGAGCCCTTTAGCTGAGGGGGTCCTGGACTTTCTTGACCTTCAATTTTCATTAACATGAGGTTTTTTGTTTGAATTAAATAGTATGTCTGTTTTCAGTTGTCTGAGTCACACTGGAAGTTATTTTAAAATGAAAGACCTAGACCAAAGACCAAACCACATATTTGTTGATGTTTTTTATTTTTTTTTTTATTTTGAGCGTACGGGTGTCCCTGAATGTTATGCCAAACCGCTGACATTCTTCATTCACTCAGAGAAATGTATGAAACACCACACTGTAAATTGCTTTTAATGAAAAAAATGAAATCAGATTGACCATACGGTCGTGGCAGAGTACAGCTGAGGATATCATATCCACACAAATGCGTGCGCGCGCACACACACACACACACACACACACACACACACACACACACACACACACACAGTCAGTGCATTTTGGAGTAATAATGGTTTTATGTGCTGAGTGTAAATCCAATGATGTCACCGACCACTCAAACCACACTAACACAAATCCTCATCTTTACCACTGTAGAAGAAGGTGTAGATTGTAGAATAAAAAGTGAAAATAAGAAGCAGGTTTCAATTCCATTATTTAAAAACTTGTAAGATTGCTGTCCAGTGGACACATTACTGCTACTGTGCAAACTCAATATTGACACAATCCATCTTGTGACTCTGAAGTGTTTGTTTTATAGACAGCCACTCTTGCATGCTCAAGTCCACCTCTACTTTCTCTTCCACTCTGCGTGCAATACACACAGAGTGGATTTAACCATGATCCCTGACAAGCAAATCTCCATTTCGGCTTCATCTGTTTCTCCAGACATAGTTCAAGTGATCTGTCAATCATAAGCCCTAAACCACAGCTCCACACTTTAGTACATAGACATATACAAACACAAACACTCATGCACACACACTGTCCCCACTGCTGGTCTTGGAGTTGCCATGGGCAACGCCATGGTGACAGTCAGGCAATATTTGAGGTAGTCTTATCCAGAGCAAGCAGCCCTCCGCTTTATAAGAAAAGAACTAAAGAAAAGAAGAAAGAGAAATGTGAGCCTGTTATTTACTGATCATTATCTCAGTTTCTTAGTTACCTCCTCAAAGCATGTTTGGCCAGATACAAACTCACTGAACCCCCCCGTGCACTCCTCTTCATTTTCATCTTAATAAAAACAATTACCAGGGTTCTTTGGTCGTAGATTGTACCGATAATTTAGCTGAAAAGGCCACTCATATCCCTCGGGTGCAGGACTTGAACTCTCGCTTATGCTTTCTTGTTTCACTTTTCTTATTAAAAAGAAAAATATGTGCTTTAGTTTGCTGTTACAATCAGATGGTAACTTGTGTTATCACTGTGTAATATAAGCACCCATATCAATCCTCTTTATAGTCGCCATTTGTTTGGCAGGCATCAAGTTTGTGAGTACTTTGCTGCCATTCATTTGGTCCTCACTGTCTTCATTATGAGATGTTTTGGCGCCACCCAGAGGTTTGTTTGGCAAGCCACAACTTTTAGTTCAGGGTATGAAAAAAGGAAAAGATAACGTGAGTTGCTAGTGACTTGCTTGTCAAAATTCTGCCCGGATGTGTGTGGTCTGTCTAGTGAATTTAAACCCTGAGGAAAAGTTTAAAAACTGGACAAGAGTTTTTGTTAATGTGTTGGAAAGCTTCCCCATATGTTTTCTGTCACCAAGCCATGGTCACTTTATTGTTTTGAACTGAACATGTGAAATATTTTACCTTTCAAAATGTTCCCCCATGAGATTTCAGAGACTTAATAGAAATTTGGATTGTTATCATTTCAAAACCACGTAAGCTATTAATATTTAACATTCAAGTCAAAGTGGCTTTTGCCCTTCAAGTCATTTTCCTGATAGATGCTTTTCAGCTGATTCCATCTCAGAGGTGCTTCGTGACTTACATTAATTGTGAAATGAGTTAATGTAAGAAATCAAATATATAGGCTTTTCTTAGTTCAGTTTTCTACCTTAATAAACAGAGAGATACCCTGAAAAATCCCCCCAAAAATCCTAAATACTATATCATATTCTGAGTTCTGGAGGATTTTGTTGTTTTTTGTTTTGATATTGATTAACTGAGAGAGATCAAAATTACCTATTGGCTTGAAGTTTCTAAACAATTTGTCCTTTCAATTGATGTTAAAAATCTCTTTCTTTAACACTCAAACTTCTCATGGTCACTTGGTTTTACCAACACATACCGATCCATTACAGTTTGAAAGGTTAATTTAATTGCATTGATCCCTTTAGATAAATAGTCTTTCCTTTATTCAGCTGGGCTTGTAGGAAGTCACAATTAAAGAAGTTTAACTTTAGGTCCCCAAATCACGCAAATTCAAGAGTGATTGACAATTAAAAGATCAGACATCATTTTCATCATTTTTTTAAATCACCAGATTTACTGTTTGACCAGTTTCCTTTCGTGTGAGCCTTCTGCCGACCCAAAGACAGTTCAAATTATCCTTATCATATTTGAGTGAAATATTTTGTCTGGGTGGGTCTGTGCAATGACACCTTTTGTGATTTACTTACATTTACCCTGCAGACTGGGCCTCACTGGTGTTGACACTTTAAGACAGATTACAGATCAGCCTGTAGTAGGTTGTGGAGGCTGTCCTTAACTCTCCAAAGTTCCCTGAAAAAAATGTACCAAACTTTTGTGTGATTACTCATTAGCCCAAAGTGTCTTGTCGGCTCTTCTTCATTATAGTCCAATAGATAGATAAGGCCATCTGAATGCATGCTTGCTCAGGCCCTTAAAACCGAGAAGAGGGACTGTGCCTTTTTCATTTGCTGCTTTAGGCTCCTATTAACCAACTAATTTATTTCTCTTTATGCTCTGCTACAGTTCCTATTTTCCAACGGCAGCCCCTCAGAATGAACACATTAGCAACCAGACTCTGCTCTCTGCTCTCTAATAACTCAGCCCTCTTGTCTTTGCTGCTGAGGCAGCAGAGGAGTTATTATTCATCTCTAAATACATTTTCTCTATTCGAGTGTGGAGGTGGCAAAAGTAGCTGCCAGATGTAAATGAGGGAGTTTGAGTGTTTTGAACTGTTGTGGTGATGTTACGTACAGATCTGCAGGAGGTGCTGAAAGTTTAACTCCAAAACACTTATTCACATCTGTCCAGTCCATTCAAAGGCAATACTTGTTTCTTATTTTTCTCTGTTCTCAAAATATGTTTTGACATTTGAAACTTATGGTTTACTTAGCCTCGAAATCAGAGCTCATAGATGCCAAGCCTACATTAGACCACAAGTAACCACAGCAACAATTCAGCTGCTTTACACTTTAAAACAGCGGTCCCCAAACTTTTTTCAGTGGGGGCCACATCAACTTTCCTTTCTAAGATGGGGGGCCGAGGTTAGTCTATAACAGGAAATGATATGGGCCAGGGTGACAACCAGTATTATTGTGGAGATTACAATGATAATTTGTTGTAGCTGCCCTTCGTTTGGCTTTGGCACCACCTGTTGATTTGCAAAAAAAAGTAATAAAAAGTCTTCACATGTGTTTATTTGAAGTACCACAGATACTCCATTTATTTTATAGAAAATAACAACACAAACTGATGGTAATGCCGGGGGGGG